GCTCCTGAGGATGGCAGGTGTGAGGCGCAGGGTGAAGACCAGCAGAACCAGCTGGCCTTCGCTCTTCTGCCTTCCAGGCTGTGCTCTGCTCTTGTGGGTGCTGGTGGCCACCTCCGTGGCCTGAGCCCCCGGTGGTGCATCAGCAGATGAAGGTGGAGCACAGACATGTCAGTGAATGCAGTGTGACTGACTGTCCTTGACTCTTGGGACACCCAGGTCAACTGGCAGATCTCCATGGAAGCTCCCCACTCAGTGGTGTACCCCATGATACGTCCTGCTGAGCCTCACTGGTGGCCTGGGGAGGTGCTGGCCGTGGGATGCGTATAGTTGAGGGCCTGCATGGTGGTTGAGGTCAGCCCAAGGCTGCCTGCTGCAGATGGCAATGATGCCCTGGAAAGTTGTTGAGGCTTTTGGTGGGGAGGTGTAGCTCCTGTCCTAACTGTAGCTGGGCCAGCCCATTGCACTTGAGGGTTGAGCTGGTTTGCAGCTGGAGCTTCGTACCTTGCATCTCTTGTCAGTCATCTCCTCTGAGCCTAACTATCAGCATTAACTGTGACAGAGTTCTGCACTTTTGATCTTCTGGCCATAGGGTGAAGCTGTTTTGACAGCTCAGCCTGTTCTTGTGTCTATGTGTTGGGTATCTTGCTGTGGCACTCTGGTAGGAAAGTGAAAGTATCTGGTTATATGCTAAGCCTAATGATGCTTGCCATGTATCCTGGCTTATAGAGAAGTATTTGTGTCCTTCCCCTTTTTTTTTGCTTTTAACTTCTACACTGTGTTCATGTTGGGGTGTGTGTGGGGGGAGGGGTGGGGGAAGAAGCAGCATTATACGATGGGGACCTTGTGCTGAACTATGCAGATAAGTCTCAAAGCAGCTGAGCAGCTTCATCTGAGCTTTGGCTGAGGTACAAAACACAGAAAAAGGAGATGAGGATGGTTGGCAAGGGCAGCAAAATAAAGGGTGTAACAGAGAAACCTGAAGCTCTGGCTTGCTGTGAGGTGATACAGGGCAGCAGTGATGTAGCTTTTGTTTGGCTGCATTGGCCACAGCCTCTGAGCCTCACAGCTCCTGCCAAGAATGCATTGAGGAGACCAGCAAGGTTTGGAGCTACAGGAGGGGATGGGATGGGGAGGGGGTGCTCTGTGGGGCATCGTGAACCGCAGGCAGTGCAGCTGGGATGGGGACACGGGTGCAAGTGCTGAGATCAGAACAGGCCCTGGAGGGATCACTTTCAGGTAAGTTGGAGGGGCATTCTCTTGCTGCCATTGTGTCTCCTAGGTGTAACCGAGAGCACCACTCTGAAAGAGCATGTTGCTGAGCTCTCTAACCTACTTACTGCAGAGCTGCTGATGGCGTGGTGCAACAGGTTGTGGGCGATGGCCCCATCCCAGCAGTGCAGGCATCTTTGCTGCTGCCTGTGCTCCTAAATAAGCCATAAGTGCTGGAAAGCCTTGAATTTTTATCCTCTGCAGGGACCTGGCCTTGCACCATGGGACTCTGGGGATGCGTTTGGGAGTGCTGGGGGAATTTGTGGTGGTGCTGGGTGAGAGCACAGAGTTGGTGTGGCTTTGTTCACCTGTGCTGAGCCCACACCCAGCTAATTGCTGTCCTCAATCTCAACACGCTCCTGCAGATGTTTGGTTCCCTCATTTCCCTTTAATTGCCCCCTTCTTTCTCTCCTTTTTTAATCACCTGTCAGAAATCACAGGTAATTACCTTCAATACTGTAAGTGTCTTGAGGCTATTTGATCCTAATGTGGATTTTTTGGGGGCCGTATTTGGTTGATATGAATTTTTAAAGAGGTTGGTTTGAGGGAAGGAGTTCTTCAATATTTTAATCTTCACGTTTCCATGTGAAATGTTTCTGCTGTCAGTCTTTAAACTCTGGAGGTTACGTGTGCTCAGAAGAAACTTTTCATTGCTCTGGTTCTGAAGAGTTAGAGATGGCAGTTCCTGTGTTGCTTATTTTATTTTATTTGAAAATTGCTTTACGGAATCAAAAGACTTGCTTAGCACAGTGAATACTCGTCTGGCTGTTGCCATTCTTATTCTGTATTTTCTTCAGGGTTTCAGGCTTGCATCTCTGACAGTCAACTCTTGTTGATGCTGTGTTTAATGATGGTGCGCTGCTCTATTCACAGCTAAGCCTTGTGATTTTATCATGTTTATAGGTTTGTTTCTGTGTAGGAAAGGGCTTGAGCTCCTGCATGAAACAGGGGCTCAGTTCTGCACCTGGACACTGAAGGCAGGGGCAGATCTTTGCTAGTTGCTGCAGTGCTTCTGAGTTCCTGCAGTATTGTCACTGTCACTCCTTCTGGACATCTGCTGCAGCATTTTATTCTGATATTTGTCAGAATGACAAAAGCTACCTGAATCCTCTGGACTAAATGCAGTTTTTAGATAAGCCAGTGGGTTTCAGTGAGACACATAGGGGGATGAAATTGTCTCCTTAGTTAAAATGATTGCTCCCTATGTAAACTCTAATGGAAAAATATCAATTTCATCCTTTCCCTGGAGCTGCACCCTCTATTCTGTTTAGACTTATTTACATCTAAAAGGTATAAGACTCAGATTCCATTATCTGAATTACATGCATCTGCTTAACCTTCATGCTAGTGACCTTGTTCCCACTTGGGATACATCTAGGAAAGCCTTCCATCTTCATCTAAAACACATGGCCATGAGAGTCTTTGCTGACCTGGCTCCCAGGGCCCCCGCCTACTCACAGAAACCTGTGCTGGAATTACCCTGCCAATGGCAGGTTTTGCAAATGAAGCTTTCTTACAGCCATTCTTCCCCTTCCATTTTTGAAATTTGACCTTGCTGTTAAAGCAATGCTAAAACAGAGACCCCTGCTCACCAGCCTTGGGGCAGAAGGATTGTTACTAAATTGAAGTGTTGTCTGAGAGTGGAGAGAGCCCTGGTCCTACGCTCCTGTTTGAGTGATATGTACTGCTATATGGATTTGCATCCAGTCAAAGGCTGTCCCAACACCTTGACAGCCCAGGGCTGGATAATATTACAGCAATGGTCAATTGTTGAACCAGATGGCAAATAAGGTTATATTATGATGGAAAATAATTTCAGACTTAAAGAGAATCGTCCAAGAGACTGACATTTATGCAGCATTACTCTGTTAGATAAAGACTGTGCTGGGCTTTGGAATCCTTTGCTTAAAATTCCCTCCCTGTTGCTTAACTACAGCCTGACCTCAGGTGGTACCTTCACCTCTGTGTCCATCTTTTGTTTGACTTTAGTCCCTGTGAAAATCAGGCCAGGGAGCATCTTCTTACCTGCTCGTACCTGAACACAGCTGCCAATGCACTTGTAAGCAAGGGCATCATCACTGCAAAAGCCTCACCAGGAAAGCAAAGACTGAAACTCCTGAAGAAGGCAGTCCCATTCAGCCCATTAAATCCCTAAATTAGGTGGTTTATGAGTTCACTTTCAGCGTTCATCAAAATGCCATAGCAGCCTGCTGAAGTGACCAGAGCTTCCTAAAGCTTGTATTTAGGACTGAGTAAATCAACACATAAGAGCAGTCCCATAATTACTATTGCTAATTAGTTGATGTTCAGGATGTGCTTTGAAGATAAAAAGTGAAGGGGTGTTGGGTTATTAAGTCCCAAACAGTGTTGTGATGCCAGCAGCACCTATTGCTGTGGGTCAGCAGGGACTTAATGCTGAAGTGACTCACCCAAATGCTGCAGAGTTTTCCTTGGAGCCTGCAACAAAGAAAGAGAGCCTTTGATGTGAGAATTGCGTTTGGATAGTTAAGTCTCTCCATGAATTTGTAGCATGAAGGCGATGAGCCCCATGTAGCTGATTCTGCCCCAGGGTAGGGAGGTGACCTTGCTGAGCTTTTAAGGACCCTTCTGGCCCTGTTTTCCCTGATTTTGTGGTCCAGAAACAGCTTTGCTGAAATAGAGCTTGTCTTTCCTGCTCAGCAGAGCTTTCTGGGTGATGACTTTCCTCATGTCTGAGTTCCCCATGTGCCGGTGCTGGGATGACCTGATGTCCCCTCCTCCTGCCATGGAGATATTTAGAGGCTGTTGGAGCAGATGTAATTTAAGCTAGAGAAGGCAGCACAGATGTGCATGACAAAGACTAACCTGATGCAGACCTGGAAGTAACAAAGTGCCTGAAAATTGCACCTACATGAAGATGGGGCTTCAAACCTTGCCTTTTCTCTCAAGCATCAACATTAAAGAGATCTGAGGGAAGGAGGGAAGAATCTGAAGCTTTTTTTCCCTTCTACTTTGTGATGTGCCCCTCCTCTTCTAATGAAATGTCTGGGAATGCTTTGGAGGCCACTTCTGCATAGCTGTTGCCACACCTGTTGGGAAGGGGAAATTCCTCCCAGTCTGCCCTGGTGGAGCCGCCCGGGGGAGCGCTGCTGCTGGAATGTTTTATTGACAAAGCTGGCAAAAAGCTTCCTTTCCATGAAAATTGAATTATTTGTTTGTTCACTTCTGAATTCAGTCTCTGTGGGCCAGACCTGCAGCTGTGATAAATTAGCCCAAGTTCCAGATGTGCCCCGTATGTTTAGAGATGTCATTTCTCTGTATCTGGGTAAGTCTGTAGATCTTCCTGTTGCAATGGTTTGGGCACTATTTCAGCTTTGTCCCTCATTCAGCCTTTCAGTTCTGGGGACAGGAGAATGTGCTGAGGTCTCGGTGGAACGGGACATTGTGTCCACTGTCTTCTCTTGCAGATGATTAACAAGAACAAATCTTTGCACAAAAATTCAAGGGATGGCTCCTGGGGGAAGTTTTGTCCTTTACATGTAGTTTGCAGTAGGTATCAAGAGTGGCTTTGACCACCTGAGAGTTGACACGCAGGTTCATGACTCTTCCAGTCTTACTGCTGGTCCTGCTATGGAACCAAAATGATTTCTCCTTGTAAAACACTGTCTTGGGAAGACTGTACTGAAGGTTGCAAGCAAAAGGGGGAAAAAAAAAAGAAAGAAAGAAAGAAAAAAAGATCTTGGTGTGGTTTTGATTTTTAGCATTTATTGTCAAATGCAGCTTTGAAGTCACTGACTTTCAGGACAGGACTCTGCCTGATATTGGAGGGGGGTCAAGAATGGAGATTTGGAGGATAGAAGTCCATGGAGTCTCTTTGAGCATTGCATGTGTACTTGCAGGAACTGTGAGATCTCCAGGCTGTGTGTGGTAAAAGAAAATTAGTTATACTCACCTCGCGATTAATAACTATCATTTATCTAGCATCATGGGTGTGCGTACCACCATCAAAGCAAAGAGCTGAGGTCTCTGCCCCAGGGAAATGGCATGCTTAAAGCCATAAATTCCTCTGGTTCACCCTCCTTTCCCTGGTTCATGGCAAGTTTGTAATTGTGTTTGGAAGCGTGCGGGATCAGGTACCTGCCTGGGTGTGTGCAATGTGACAAAGCTTCAGAAAGACAACGTGCGATGTTAAGAAAAAAGGGGGTGGGAGAGGAGCCGGGGGGAGGTGGAATCGGACTGCGTGTGTCTGTGTACACACTGAGTGCTCACGAAAGGAGGAGAAACGCTTCCCAGGCGGGAGTGGCGGGTGGAGGGCTGGGACAGAGTCGGGCTCCCACCCAGCTGTGCTGGCAGCCAGGCAGGACCGGCACTCCGCTGTGCTCTGTGGGGACAGAACGGCTCCCAGCGCTCACCTTCTGCTCTTTCCCTGCACAGGGGCAGATCGAAGTCGAAAGCGAGACGGTCTTCAAGTTGGCAGCCCTGGTCCTGCAGGTAAGCTGCTCTTTGCGTGTTGGTGCGCGGTGACTTTCTGGCATCGGCGCTGCTTTGGCACGGGGCAGCCCCCTGACTTGTTAGTTCAGCTGTGTGCTGCCTTGCCGGGTTTATTTTCCTGCATTTTCCTCCATGCCACGAGGACAAAATCATGTAGCATTTGTTGTTTGTAGTCTCTGGAGTTGTTATTTTCTTCGTAGGCTAGTGAAAGAAATAGGCATCTGAGCAATTTTAACTTGGTGGAGAGAATGGAAAAGGAAAAGCTCATCAAGGGAAGTAATTTATTTTGGCAGATTTACATCCAATTTATCACTTAATCTTCTAATTTAAATATATGCTGGATATCTGAGAAGAGCATAGTACTGCAGCTGAAGTTCGCTGTGCTGTGTTTGAAGTTTTCAGAGCATATGTTTTATACCTTTGTTACTTCATGTTATTTTTTTCCTCTTCATTGTGCTGTCCTCAGACTTCAAGTTTGGTTATTTACCACTTCCTGTGAAATAAATATCTACCTTTTAAATGTTCGTCCTCCGTGCTCAACTCCTACCCCCATTTATGAAATGCTCAGCAAAGCTGATCTGCTTGAGCTGCTTCCAAGAGCACAATTCCTCCCAAAAGTCTGACCTGCTCTTGGAGCTGACCTTCAGCTTGGACAATCAGAGAGAGAACTGTATTTCACTTACTGGGCAGCAAAATTGACATTGGATGTGGATCTTGAAATTCATCCTGCTTGTAGAAGCACATTTATTTACGGTGTAGGTGGATAATCTACAGCTGGAAGCATGAAGGGCCAAGCTCTGTTCCTGAGTGCTGCATGCAGGCAGCCTCTGGGCTCTGTGTGAGTGTGGCTGAGGTCGGGATCCAGCCAAAAAGCTGTGGGAGTGGGGAAGCAAACAATACTGGGAAAATCGAGGACTTTTGAAGAGATCATGTTTTAATTCTGTCACTGTTTTTCAATTGTAGGAAGCTAAAGGGGACTATTCCAGGTAATAACATTTTTCCTTTCTAATACTAATGGGCTTGATGGATGTGTTTTGGTTGGTTTGCATTGTATTTCAAACAATCAGAAATGAGGGGTAAAGTCCAACTGAGAGCAGCGCTGAAGAAAGCAAAATGCACCGCTAGACTGGATAAAATCTAACTGCAGGGTGAGTCCTTTGGTGAACAGGCTCAGAATCAAAACAATTTTGCAGGCCATCCTTCTTTGCTCCCCTCCCATCAAGTGCATGCCTGAGTGGGACGGGGAGCTGCTGCCCTTTGCTCCCAGCCAGCCCATGCTTGGTGCTGCAGACCGTGCCCAACCACAGCACGTGTGGGGGACATGGAGCTGCCAGCTGCCTGCCTGAGGTCAATGAGCCTCTTTCTTCTGCAGCTGCCCCCAGGCCTCCCTCAGCCCACACCTGACCCAGCACTTGTGCTGAGCTGTGTGCTGCACTGGGGCTGCACACGAAGAGAGTGTTTGCCCTTGGAAATTTCTTTCTGCCTGGTCACCTCCGTGCACTGGTTTGGATAGCAGCACTGGGAGCTGTGGGGGGAGCTGAGGTTGCACTCAGAGCTCTTGGAGCCCAGGGAAAGGACCTTCAATTAGGAACGGCCTGCTGAGCAAACAAATTCAAAAGGTTGGCATTGGTCACGTTAATGTTTTACCATTTGCTGAGTTTCCATGCAGTAGGATGTTGTGCTCTTGCTGCAGCAGCTTTCCTGCTGCAACAGACACATTTGGAAAATGTCCAGTGAGGGGCTACCTCCTAAATGCAGGATATGAGTTGTGCCTGATGCCAAAACTCCCAGCAGAGGTATTCTCTGCTGCTCTTCCAGTGCACAGCGTCAGTGCCAGCTCTGTTCTGGCCCTGGTGCCAGTCCTCCTTGTGTGGAAGGGCACGCTTTGTAAAGCTCATCACAGACCTCTTTGGTTTTTGTTGGTGTGCTGTCACGCCTGCAAAGAGGAAGAGATGCCCTTGTGACTAAGATCAGCTGGATGGGCTGCTTGTACAGATACTTCTGTTCCTATTCACACTGCAGACCTGCTTTGTGACCCACAGGATATTGCTTATAGCCACAGTGTGCTGCCCTTCACCCCAGTAAGACTGCTCATCTCGCCTGATTTCCTGCAGCATCCCTCAATGTAAGGACAGATAACCAGGGAACTCACGTCACCACGGCTCACTTGACTAGAAGCAACTTGCTAAGTTGCAGCCCTGGTGGCATAGGCTCTCTTAGCCTGGTACAAGCCCTCAGGAAAAGAGGTTTAAGGTTTAAAACTGCCTTTGTAGTTAAAACCTCCCTTGTGCAGTTTGAACTTAGTTCTGACTCCTTATCGTTTGCAATAAATAGGTTTGTAAGTATTGCTTCACAAGCGCAAGAACTGTGTACGTGGTTATTTTGCATGCCTCATCAGACAGGTTGGAAGGCGTGGACCGCCTGTTGTTACCTTCCAAAGTATTTAAAGAACATGGGAGGCAAGAGGTGTGCTACAAGATTGATTTCCTTCTCCAAACAGTTGCCTTTTGCATAAGATCCTAAGCTGCAGCAATTGCTTTCGCTGTATTAAAAAAAAAAGTTACGCCTCCATATCAAATGAGCATGGCCAGCTGTCCCACACATCAGAGTGAAGGAATTTGATTTTACATAGCACAAGTGTCATTTGGACCACCGATGTTAAAGTGCTGGCTTCGTTACCAGTGTGTTGTGAAGATGCTGAGTGGCTGATGGCCCAGCAAACCCACCAGCACCGTCCTGCAGCCTTTCTGCTCTCTGCGCAGAGGCTGCCTCCCATTATGGTGCCTGGGGTTGAAGTGCTCAGTGTTGCCTATCGTTTGGCAATTCCATTTTGAATCACTTTCTGGAATGTGGATCTTGCACCATTTCTGCTTACGTGAGAATGCCGTGATTAATTTTTTTAATGTAGGATTAGTGCAGAATTGCCTCAAGTCCTGGAGATTACCTCTCTGTCAGTTAAAAATGGGCCAGTCTGGACAGCGCTGGTGATCTCTGCCTGCCTCATGAGGAGCTGTTGTTGGGGGCACATCTCTCTCGCTGGCTCCAGGTGGGAATATGCAGGCCAGTACCAGGGCACCATAAACTCCCACAGCTCTGCGGTAACCCCTTCCTCAGATAAGGCTTTGCAGGAAGAGCACAGTAATCTCCCACAGGCTGCCCGCCCTCTTCTCGTGCTCAGTGAGTGAGCGCATTCCTTGGAAATCTGTTCATTTTCAGCGTGCAAACCTGACATGTGGGCACTTGGAGACAGTAACAGCCACTGGCTTCTATGGACGTTACCCCACAGCCAAGTGGCACTGACAGTGTGAGCATCCCAGGGCTCAGCCCTTGCAGGTGACATGTTGTGGGTCTTCTTGGGACAGGGACGTGTGCTTTGGCATTGAATGACACAAGACTCACCAGTCCCACTTGGAAAAGATGTTAGCTTTGAAGACATTGATTAAAAAAAAAAAAAGCTTTATGTCCTGTTCAGTACAGACTTCAGAATGCCACCTGTGGCATGCCCAGTGCACATCTTCTGGGATCGCTCTGGTTTCTCCAAGGTGTCCAGATCAAGCTTCAGAGTCCCTGTTCCTTGTTGGGGAGTTGGACCAGATGGCCTTTAACAGTCCCTTCCAATTCAAATGATTCTCTGATTTTTAAAAGTATCTTGGAATTTTAAACTTTGAGGATTTTTAAGAGAATGAAATTCAAGTTGCAGCTTCTGACTTGTTTGAATTTTGGAGAGGGAAAATAAAAAGCTGCTTGTTATTTATTTTAGGAATTTTATATTGCAAGAGACCTAACCAGCACAGTTACCAGATCAGGCTGGTGATTATTTGCCATGTTAATGCTCTGTAATATGAAGTCTTGTCTCTTTGAGAAATAAATGATTCACTTATGCTTAGTTTATGGACTGTTTGCCCTCAGAAATAGTAATAGAATACAGTATTCCTTTGTAGCTTGATAATAGAGTTTATAACCAGTGTTATTGACAATCCTAAAAATGCTGCGCTGCTATTCCAGTGTTAGAGGGGGGAGAAAAAGAAGTCTGTTAACATCAAATGAAAATGAATTGAGCAAGTAGCTTTTAAACAATGTTTTTCTGATAATTTTGCACCGTGTTTTCCACAGTAACACTTCCAGGCCTGAAACTCAGCCCTGCTCCCTGGAGGTTAATGAAGTTGCTGGAGGAGGGCTTCCATTTTCTTTAAATAGCTGACACATTCGGTTTTGATTCTGGCCTGTGGGCTGCAAAGATAACTCCTGCCTGGTGTAACATAACACAGACTAAATAATGAATTCCTGATAGCTGACATGTGTGAGACACTGGGATTTATCGGTACGTGAGTGATAAATGCAGCCTGCAACAGGAAGAGGTTTGTGTGCAAGATAGGCTCCCACGCTGCAGCCACAGGGGAACTGGCTCAGGAGCTCCCACAGTGACAAACTTCATTAAAGAACAGAATAAGTGCTTAGTCTAGGGGCAGAAAACTGGTATCAACAATCCTAATTAAGAGTGAGCGCTCCCTCTTAAATTTTGGGTAGTGTTTGCTTGGGAGGATAGTTATTCTGCCAAATAAACAGGGGAATGTTGGTGCACAAGAGCATGGAAATAATGGTGTGGACAGTGCTAGGAAGGAGCTGCCTGGATAAAGCTGTGACTGTGTAGCACCTGCTAGCTGCAATGCTGGCCTGCAAAGCAGCCCAGTTCTAGGAGAGGACACACTGAGGGCTGCTGGTTCCAGCTTGCTCAGCCTATTTTCAGAAACCTCACCATGTTCAAATGGTCAGAGCTCCATGTGGTCTGAGCTTGGGTCAAAGCAAAGCGCAGATGTGCAGCACATCCCCTACTTGCCTGTTTGCATCCTGGAGAGGTCTGAGAGCTCTCATAGTGGATCCAAATGGTGCTTAGCCCAGGGAGGAGCCCAGGTGTTGGTGTCAGCACAGTGACAGAGAGCTGAGCACAGTCCTTATGCCTCTGTCAGCCCCAGTGTGTCTTTCCCAGCAGGGTATGGGCTGTACTGGTGGGTGAATACA